AACACATAATCAGAACCCATAATGTACAAGCAAAAGACCAGTAAGATATAAAAAAAATACCCAAACAAAGAAATATGAAAAACAAAAAATATCTACAAAAGCACCATTGAGTTCATTTTGCATTATCCACTTACTGCTGGGTGTTCGGTCTACCCTTTTATACCCAGTGAGATTCCAATGGAGAAAATACATTTGTCCTTTTCAAATGGGTATCAGTTGGGGATAGCTTCTTGAATAGGGGTGGAAAATGGTGTCCACTTTCCCTTCTCAGCATTGGAACCCTGTCTGGCTTGAACCTGTGCTGGCCCCGTGTGTGGTCCCACCATCTCTGTGAATTCACGGTGCATCCTGCCTGCTGTGTCTGGAAGACAGTTTCCTCATTGTCCTCCACCACCACTGGCTCTTACAATTTTTTCACCTCCCCTTCCTCATAGCTCCCAGAGCCCTAAGGGGAGGGGATTGATACAGACATTCCATTTAGGTGAGTGTTCCTAAGTCTCTCACTCTTTGCACATTGTCCAGTTGTGGGTCTCTGTATTAGTTTCCATCTACTGAAAGAGAAAACTTCTCTGAGAGTGGCTTAGTGAGGCACTGATCTATGGGGAAAGTAAAATGTCATTAGAAGTTGTTTTATTGTTGTGCTCCTTTAGCAGAACAATGGTGTATTTCCCCTAAGCACATGCCCTCTCTAATTTCAGGTTCTTGGCCATATAAGCAGTGTTGGGCATGGGTTCCATCTCACAGAGTGGGCCTTAAATCTAATCAGAGAGTGGTGTCTTACTCTCATAACATTTACACCCTTATTGCACCATAATAACTTACTCAGGCCACCATTGTACATTTAGAGTTTGTAACTGGGTTGCTGTTTACTTTTCTCCTCTGGTACCACACAGAATACGTCCCAGTACCGTGAACACCAGTCAGTAGGGGTAAAGTCTATAGACACCAGCTCAACTTTTTCATGTTTAATGAGTTATGTAGGTGTTTTCTTCAGCCAAAGAGTGTTACTATCAGTTGGTGGAGAACTACCAATAGCCTTTGCCTGAGTTGTTTGAGGGTGTCCATGGGGCCCCTTTGGCCAACAACTCAATTAGATGTAACCCATTCCTGTCACTTGAGTTTCACTTGGTGCCAAAAGATGTCTAGTTGGAGTGTTGTCTTCTCATTATTTGGTGGCTCCATTTAGATTTATTTTATTATGTACATAGTTTAAGAAATTTATACATTAGTAGATTTTCATATACCTCATCAAATGGCTCTTGGTATTGTGCCTCTCTTTATTCCCCCCCCCCCGGCCCACTTTTGTCTCCTCCTCCCCATTTAATCCTCCTGTTCCATTCTCCCCACTCTCTCTCCAAAACTATGTATTCTATTTCCTCTTCCTTGGTAAATCCTCCCTTCCCCACTAAGTCCCTTACTAGTTACCTAACCTCTGTGGTTATATGGATTGTAGGATTCCTAGAGAAGGCTTAAAAGCCAACATTCACTTATAAGAGAACATATACTATATTTGTCTTTTGGGGCCTGGGTTACCTCACTCTGGCTGAACTCCATCCATATACCTGTGAAATTTATGCTTTTATTTCTAGCAGCTGAACAATAATTCCATTGTGTAAATGCATCACATTCTCTTTATTCATTCACCAGTTAATGGACATCTAGGCCATTTCCAATATGTGGCTACTATGAATAGAGCAAATGGATAATCAAGTGTCTCTGTAATAGGATGTAGAGTCCTTTAGATATAGACCCGAGAGTAGTATAGTTGGATCTAGATCTATTCCTAGCTTCTTGGGATATAGTGTTTGTTCAAGTTTGCACTCATACTGAAAATGGATAAGTGTCCCACTTTTCCGATGTCCTCACCAACATGAGCTGTGTTATGGGAATATTTCAATTGATAGTCTCACTTTCCAAATAACCTAGCCTGCATCAAATCAACATAAACTAACAAGGACAACTGACCCTAGTCAACTTCGTAAATGAACACATTACTGCTCAACCATAACTTTCCCTCTCTTGCTCATCCTGATTACCTCAATATCCATATTACAGTATAAAACTTTAAAAATCTCAACAGTTTTTAAAATTTTAAACACTTAAAAGCTAAGTCTCTTTAAAATATCCAAGCTCTCTGTAAAATTCCAAAGTCTCTTTATTGTAGGCACCTGTCAAATCAAAAATAACTTTAATACTTTCTTACTCCGAGGGAAAAATCAGGGCACAGTTAAAATCATATCAAAGCAAAACCAAAATCCAACAATGTCAAATGCTATGACTCACGACTTCCAGACTCTCAACGACTTGCCACAGCACACACTGTGCCCTATCCACTCAGGCCAACTTCACACAGAGCCCTTGCTGTCCATGGTCATTATCCCATGGTACTAGCATCTGCACTGAAACTGGGCTGCACCTTCACCAACAGCCTCTTCAGGGACTCTGGTTCTGCATATGTGTCAAGCCTCGACTTCTCTCCATGACCCATTCAATCTTAGGACTTCGATTACAACTGAGACTTTTACCTTCACTAATGAACTCTCCTGCCTCTCTTCAGGAATTCCTGCCCTGCCACACAGTGACAGGCCTCCGCTGCTCACTGTGACCCCTTCATGCCTTCAAAACCAGTACCACCTGAGTGACTCATATATATTACCACGTTTGGCTGCAAGCATGAGATGTAGCCTTGGACCCTCTGGACCACAGCTTCTGTGTGCTGTCCATGAGGAAATACTCCCAGAAGACTTCACCTAAATGATGTTGGCCTGTTCTTAATCACAGCTGATTGTACCAATTGTACCAACAAAGCAAAGGTTTTTACCTTACTGTTGTTGGTTGTTTTTTACTCTTGGTCTCTTTGGAGGGCTGTCATCCAGCTTCCAAAGAAATTACACAAATCTTATTTTTTTCTTATGAATGCTCAGTCTTAGCTTAACTTAGAAAGCTTCCAAATTTAAATTATCCCATCTATGTTTTGCCTCTTGGCTTTTACCTTTCTCTATTTCTGTATGTCTTTTCTTTCTTCTTATTCTGTGACTGGCTGTGTAGCTGGGTGGCTGGCCCCTTCCTTCCTCCTCTCCTCCTTTTCGTGTTCCTTGATCTTGCTTCCCTCTTCCCAGATTTCTCCTTCTATTTATTCTCTCTGACTGCCAGCCCTGCCTATCTTTCTCCTACCTAGCTATTGGCCATTCATCTCCTCAGGTATTGTAGACAGACAAGGTAACACAGCTTTCACAGTACTAAACAAATACAACACATCTTTGCATCATTAAACAAGTGTTCCACAGAAAAAATAAATGTAGCACATCTTTAACTAATATTCTACAGCACCTTACCGGTTATTGATTCAAAATATCACTCAAACAACACTGACAGAGCCTTTGTTCCCTCTAAAATTTCACAAGCTAGATCATTACCTTCTACACTGCTTTCATGTTTATCTTTTTAGTTCCCACAATAGTTGACTAAGCTCTAGATGCTCAATGACTTTTCCGGTCCAAAGTCCTAAAGTACTTCCACAATCCTCCCCATAACAAGAGGGTCAGATCTCTCAGAGCAATAGCCTATTTCTCTTTACAATTTCTATCTACGACTGTGATAAAATACCATGACTAAAAGCAATTTGGAGAAGGAAGGGTTTATTTCACCTTACGCATGTACATCAGAGTACATCATTGAAAAAAGCTATGACCGAAAATGGAACAGGAACCATGAAAGTATATTGTTTGCTGGCTTTCTCCACTTGGTTTACTCGATCTATTTTCTTACAGAACCCAGAACCACCTGCCCAGAAGTGGGTCTGCTCCCAGTGAGCTGAGACCACCTGTACCAATCATTAACTAAGAAAATGCCCCCATAGAGTTACCTACAGACAGATCTTAAGGTGGGGGCATTTTCTCAATTGAGAGTCCTTCCCTCAAATGACTCTACTTTATGTCAAGTTGACATAAAACTTACCAAGACAAAAAACAAAACTATGTCCTGTTGTAATTTTGAGACAGGGGTTTGTCCAAGATGGCTTCACACCTACAAGACACCTGCCTCAGGCTCCAGAGTGCTGGGCTTGCACATTTGTGCCACCATATTCATTACAAAATTGACCTTGCGGCTCAGTCATGTCTTTCCAGTGTTTGTAGCATTGCTGGCTAATGTTCTATGACAGTGTATTTTAACCTTTTCACTACAATAATGAAAACCCATAAAGATGCCAATCAGTGTATAGCAAAAATAATCAGAATAAGATAGAATTCAGTGTTCATGCTACCACACCAGTGGGAGCCATTTTTTAATCTACTGTTTTCAGAGCTACAATGAGATTAGAAAATCTCCACCAATCAAGAGGTCTGTTTATTGTGATGACATAGCCTTTTTAAGAGGAAAAACAAGTTTTATGCGTGGTAGAGTATAGACAGGTTATGTAATTTTATATGGTCACAATATTTAAACCCAGTTTTAAATGACTTCAAAGTTTGTTTTGTTCATGTCCCCTCAAAACCCACGTGTTTAAACGTTAATCCCCAATGGTTGAGGAGATGGAACCTTTGAAAGGTGATCCTATCCTAGAGCTCAGCACATATGTATGGGATAGTGCTCCAGCTGCCTTGCTGGAAAAGCAAGTCCAGAGTGCCATCTGTGAACTGAGAAGCAGGTTCTCCCAAGACATTGAAGTGTCTGCCCTCTTGATGTTCAACTTTCTGTTGCTCCCAGCATCATGCTAGAGCTGTTGAAGCAGCCTGAAGAGAATGAGATACCCAACCCCTTCTCATCTCTGCCCGTTATACCTTAAACTTGCACTTAATGGCCCATCATTGAAAGAAATTATGGTAGAAGCAAGGTGGTTCATTGAGATGGGAGGGGAAGGTAGCTATGATTCTTCAGTTTCCTAAGTTTACAGGCTTAACAACATGGGGAAACAGTAGTACTTGAATTGTTCTGGAAAGTGGTAGTTTTGGCATTTTCTGAATGTACTTAACATGAATGAATTTGTCTTCTTTTGTAAGGAGAACTCGAGTTGCATTCTGGAGTTGACTGCTCATGGCACGCACTCTTAGAGGATTCTTGTTGGGACTGAATTTTTTATTCGTGTGGCTGTTGATTAAAGCAGATATAGGTAAGAGATTTCTGTAATCTTGTCTGTAGAAGGAATTGTAGTTTAAATTCTCAGGTACAAATGAACCATGTATTGTGGTAAGTGTTCTAAAGTGAATTTTGTAGTCAGTCTTTTAACATTTAATGGATAAGTTTGGCTCTGTAGTATTGTCTTATTTATTTTAATAATTAACATTGGATATAATCATATATTTACTCTTGAGAAACTGGCTAAGAAACCTGAAGCATAATGGAATGCATTTTAGAACCAGAAAGATGTTTCAGCAAGTAAAGGCACTTGCTTTGCAAACCTGACCACTTGAGTTTGACCCTTTGAGCCCACACCCTGGCCTCAACTGTGTACTGTGGCCCATGTTCACACACACACATAAATGATAAAATAAAAAGTTAGAGTGTACTTTAGCAAGAGTATTCATGGTTGAATTCAGCTATCATACGAATATGATACATACATATGCATGTGTGTACATTTTCCTGGCTTCTTGAGTAAGAGTTTGATTTGGGCTTTCTGGCCCATTACAATGAAGAACCAAAGAAATCAAGACCAGACATAGAATAAAACTAAGAGAGGGAAAGAGATTCCATTTAGTTTTGAAAATAAAAATGAGTGTTTTCTTTGAAAGGATTGTTCAGTATTTCATTTACTTAAGGTAAATAATAACTTCACTAATTCCTCTTTTATGCATATTGATCGTATCACAGAATTATCCCCAAAGATGATTTCACAGGGGGATTTACATCACATCTGAAATTGAGAATGCATCTCTATTTTGTAGTTCTTTTTACTGAAGTGTGTCAGTGGAATGCTTTTGGGAGTGAGTTAAATGGGAGTTCAAGGTGACATTGATGATAGTAACTAAGCCATAAGAGTCACCCAAAAAGAGGAACATAGATGTCATTTACTTCAACCGTATTACCCAGGGGCCTACAGCTTAAAGAAATATCAAAATGCAGGTTATTGGACCCACTTTCCTTTGTTTTTTTGTTTGATTCTTTGCTACATTTTCTGACTTTGTAGCCTGGTCTGACCAATAATTCATGATGCTCCATCTTAGCCTCCCAAGTACTGGGATCACAAAACCACATATTTGAATATTTTATCTTTATTATAAAATGATATTACAAGGTATGCTCATTTAATACGACTGATATATTAAGAGAAGAAATTATTTCTACATATGTCCCTAAAGTCTTGTAAGATTGTCTTTGTTTTTCTTAATATAATTACTAAAATAAGCATTTCAAATTACAAAGGCGACGGGAATTATGTAATTTATCCAGCGAAGAAGTGGTCTGGTGTGAAATCTGAATGTGGAAAAGTCACCTGAGAGAGTTTAGAACTGCATTCCAGAATGTTCTTTCAATGCTGTTTTCTTGCTAGTTTCCTCTTGTTATGTCTATAGCGTGGATATTTTGATAAGAACATACATTTAATTTAAACACATTTTAGTATGACTATCTTCTAATTCTCCAGCATTGCCAATGCTGCTGGAGCAATGTAGGTTATTAACAGTTCCGTGGTCTGATGAGTTTTAATTTCTCCCTACTATGGGGATTGAACAAACTCTCCATCTTGAAATGGATGTCTTCCTTCTAGCTGACTTTTGCCTTTGTCTCTTCCTGCAGATCCCTGCAAGCGAGGCACAGTGACTGTCAAGCCTTCCCCTGTGATTCCACTTGGGTCAGCTGTCAATATTTCCTGCTCTTTGAATCCCAAGCACCGCTGTTGGAATCATCCTGGTTCTAAATTAGTCCTCTCAAAGTCTAGCGAAGAAGTCCATTCCCACAATGGTCGCTCCTCCACTATTCAAGTCTCCAACCTTTCCCTTGGTAGTACCATATTTGTCTGCCGGGTATACTGTCCTCAAACTAGTCAGTCCTATGTGTGTGGAGAAGAGATCTCAGTTGGTGGTGAGCATTCCTTTCTGAACTCTTATGAAGTGGTTAGTGTGTGTGTGTGTGTGTGTGTGTGTCTATGTGTGTGTGTGTTTGTGTCTGTGTGTCTATATATTTCTGTGTGTCTGTATCTGTGTGTATCTGTGTATCTCTGTATGTCTATGTGTGTGTCTTTGTGTTTGTGTGTGTGTGTGTGTCTATATATCTCTCTGTGTCTGTGTGTATCTGTGTATCTCTGTATGGCTATGTGTGTGTCTGTGTGTGTCTTTGTGTTTGGGGGGGGGGTGTTTGACATGAGATAAATAGAAACCCGAACACCAGACAGATTTTTTTTTTTTTTTTTTTTTTTTTTTGGTTTTTCAAGACAGGGTTTCTCTGTGGCTTTGGAGCCTGTCCTGGAACTAGCTCTGTAGACCAGGCTGGTCTCGAACTCACAGAGATCCGCCTGCCTCTGCCTCCCGAGTGCTGGGATTAAAGGCGTGCGCCACCATCACCCGGCTCACCAGACAGATTTTTATGTTCTCCCAAAACATTAAGTATTTTATTGTGAGACCAGCCTGAGAATCCCGATGTAAGAAGTCTAGAAATCAACAGGATTAGGATCTTGTTTTTTTTTGTTGTTGTTGTTTTTTTTTTTTTTTTTTTTTTTTTTGGTTTTTCGAGGATCTTATTTAGGAACTCGCAGTCTCTCTCCACCACTTGTCCTTCACTCTCTCTTTCTCCCAGTTCTTCTCTTTCTTCCTTTCCTCTTTCTCTGACCATTGGGATAATTTGCTTACTCTCTGTGCGTGGCTCTTTACAGCTAGTTTGCCACACCCTCTTGGTTTAGGAAAACTGGCTCAAAGCTACAAGTTCCTAAAGTGATGGAAGAGTGTCTCTTCCAGCTCTTACATCCCAGACCAGCAGCACCTCCTCTCCCTTCACTTAGTGCCCAGCAAGTAGTTCTTCCATCTCCACCCACCCATGAAGAGTGACGATCACACGCAGAGAGGCTAGCAGGAAACTGCCACCATACTTAGGGACCTTTCCTGGAATTATGCCCAGCACAAAGCTCATAGGCTAATACTTCAAGAAAGGAGCTGAGAGTGAGAAACAAAGCTAGGAAATACAGTTAATGTATCCTTTAGTACTGGGATAGCTCTAGAAAAGTGTCATTAATTTCACCATTATGCAAACAGCATAAAGTATACGTAAGCTTAAATGGCATCTCCGGATGACAACATCTCACAGGACCGCTGTTACAGACTGACACCATTGTGTGTACATGATGGTATGGTGTGGTGATGTTACTAAGCTGGCAATAGCCTTCACGGAAAATACTGATGACAGTTTGACCACTTGAGGACATTTCCAGGAAAAGCATAAGGAAATATGATAGCAAGAAAAGGGGAAAGCCTTTACCTAGTTCCCCTTTAGTCCAAGTTTAGCCCATAGGATCTCTTTTATTTTACTGGCTTGCATAGTTGGTCCCTCCAGGCAACTGCTAAGAGGAAAGAACTAGAACATCACAACTGGCCTCTGCTGAATGAGCACAGGGGAGGCAGCAGACTCCTGACTTACAGTTTCTAGCCAGAAGCCCACAGCTTCTCAGGTCCAGCTTGGCAAGTTGCTGAACATGGTTGAACCCTGGATGATTTCATGGCCCTTTTTAGCCTCCATAATGGAGGTACATATGCCTAAATACAAGTACGTAAGGAAATGCTTATTATTGTAGCAAAATTAATAATTTGTTATTTTATTAAATGGAACCACAAGAGCTATATATTTTTATAGGCAGTCAATAGACAGAACTAAATACTGAGATGTTATCTTGTCCGAGGCCCCACGAAGATATGTGTACATATCTGTGGTGGATACTAGCAAAAAAATTGTATTTCTCCATCAGTTTTGACTTTGGAAGAAATGGCGAAAATTTTGCAGTATGCATTTTTTGTCTTGCCAAAGGCACATCTGTCTGCATCAGAATCTCAGTACTGTATTAGAATGGGATGGTTACTCAACTAAGTGTTTTCTCAAAACCCTCCATTAATTCTGTTCTTCAAAGGATCTGGGTTCAATTCCCAGTACCCACCTGGAGGTTCATAACCATCTGTAACTCCAGTTCCAGAGAAGTTGACACTTTCTTCTGCATTCTGTGGGCACCAGGACAAGAAATGGTGCCTACATACACATACAGTCAAAACACCCATACACACTTTAAAAATATATTGTTTGAAAATAGACAGACCCCTTGCCTTGTATACCTTTGTTTTGACAGCTATGCCTATGCCTGGTCAATGGAAGCTATAAATATCTGTATGCATAAGAAGTAATCTATACCTGCTCATAAGGTACTCCGAGCGATACAGTGCCTTGGCAGTGCATGGAGACAGAGTCAACTGTTTGTTTTTGTTTTTTAATTTGTCATTGGTGGTGGAGATTTGTGTTTGTTTGTTTGTTTGATTGGTTTTGTTTCTTTGTTAAGACAGGGTCAAACTATGTAGCTCTGACTGTCCTTGAATTTACAATCCTCCTGCGTCAGTCTCCTGAGTGAGGGAATTATAGGTTGGTACCACCATACCTGGCTTAAAACTTCTTATAGTGAGTAGAATTCCTCTGGCATTGTGGAATAATAGATATTTGTCTTTCCAGGGGAAAAAAGGTAGAATTATGACTTGCCAGCCACACCTGAACCGGAGCACTGATTCTGCCCTTCATAGTTTTGTAGTCTGGGGCAGATGTTTTGCCTAAGACTTTGTTTCTTCTTTGATCACGTAAAAAATAATCTTACCTACTTTATGGAGTGATCTGGCTAAGAACTGCATATAAGACACTTGGCACCAGGCTTAGGCTAAAGGATGTGATCAATATTCATCACTATTGCTTTAATTATTAAAGAAAATCCATGCCTCAGGAGCAAATCTGAGCATGTTAGAAAATGACTTCATCTAGATTTGTGGGGCATGTGGAAGTTATTATCAATATACTGCAAACAATAACAGTGTGATCTTGGTATCACCTTCAGACTATTCCAAACACCAAGTCTTGCTCTTCCTTTGTAAAGTTGCTCCAGAGCCACCTCGAAACCTATCATGCCTCCAGGAAGGAGAACGTGGGACTGTGGTCTGTACCTGGGACCCTGGACTAGATACCCATCTGAAAACCTACTACACTTTACAGTGAGTAAGAGGCTACATGGCTGTTTTGTGTGTATTCTGTCTTACAGCAGTATCAAATGGTTTATTAGATGCTAAGGAGAAACAGCAATAGATCCCTCACCAAGAATTTAATTACCATTTCCAGTGTCTGTCCCTGAGAACTGCTCCAGTCCCTTGAACTGTGAGGGCTGATATCTTAGTTCTACATTCTCATTTAAAGTTTTCTTTGGGTCATCCAAGATCTCAGTTAAGATAGTCTCCCTGGGTTAAGCTGGCTGTGTAAAACCCCATCTCCTTTGTAGTCTCACACTTTGGGGCATCGTGATATATAAATGGACTCCTCCTTGGAGGAATTACATTTTAAAATACAGTTGGCTGGTGTGAGAGTCCACAAGAAGAGGGGATATGGGGGGCCGCCCTTTTTGGAATATATCCCATAATCCCATCACAGGTACAACTGTGCCTAGGTGAACAGAAAATCGAAAAGACAGCCGGACCAGGATGGAGTTTTCCTACCTCTGGACTGTGAGCTCACACCATACTTCCATTGAATGGAGATCAGATGTTCAAAGATTCTTTGGATAAGCATTAGAACTTCCCTGAAAAGACAAGATAACAGCCAGGGTTTGGGAAATTAAAAAGTATTAACCAAAAGCCCTCTATATGGACATTCATTTCAAAAGACTTCAGTTGTACCAAAAAGGGAGTAAGGAGGAGATATAGTCCTATAAATGAGAACAGGATTCAAGTATCCCCACAGAATATCCCCTAGTAATAAGACCAGCCTTAAAATGTGTCTGGAATTTTGTAGTGACTGTAGGAAGCAGCATGTAAAGTATATTACTAAACACAGTTTGCTTGGGTTACAGGTTAACTGGACCAAACAATGTGACCTGTCAGGACCAAGGCAGTTGTCGGAATTGTAACCGCTTGAGTCTTGGGATCAGTCTAACGTCTCATTTAGCTGAATCCAAGTTCACAGTCAGTGTCACTGCCAAAAATCAGCTTGGAAACTCTTCTTCATTTCCATTTACGTTCACGTTCTTGGACATAGGTAAATTTGCTTGCAATTTTCCAGGTGTCATTAACTGGCACATGAAGATTTGTTTAAAACTCACTGAAGTCTTCTATGTGTAGCTATTTTAAAGGAGACAAGAGCTGATGGAAAGTAACAATAGGTACAAAGTTTGAGGCTATTGTGTTGCATGTCATTGGCACATTGGTCTTCTTTAAATCTAGTAAATGCTGTCCACAAATTAACTATCTGGTAAAGATGAGGTTGGGTTAAGAGCAGTTATTTCAAATAGCTGAGAAATGAAACCAACATTCATGTCAGTACTTAAAGCAATCACTGATCATAAAGCCTGACTGGTACATTTTTGTTTGTCTTGGTTACTAGTGAGGCCTCTTCCTCCGTGGGACATCAGAATCGATTTTCTAAATGCTTCTGAAAGCAGATGTATCGTGCAATGGAAAGACGAGGGGCAAGTGGTGCTCAATCGACTCAGATACCGGCCTTCTAACAGCATGTCCTGGAATATGGTAATAGTCTTTAGAGGAATGGCAGAAAATCAGTAAGGGCTCTTGCCATTGATGCACAGATTCATCTTACTATGTCAACAAATTAGGGAGCTTAAGAACTTTCAGCCTAGAAACACACATTGAAATTCCATCAGAAAATTGTATATACCTCTGTCTACATTTTAGAATTTTTGTGTGTACAAGTATTTCCCTTCTCCTAAGAGGCAAGAAGAGAGCATCAGATTCCCTGAGGCCAGAGTCACAGACTGTTCTGAGCAACCGTATGGTTGCTGGAAACCAAAATCTGGTCCCAGCAAAGGCAGAACATGCTCTTAATTACTGAGCCATCTCTCTGTTTATTAAGAAATATTGGAGGGGCCGGAGAGATGGCTTAGTGGTTGAGAACATTGGCTGCTCTTTCAGAGGACTGTGGTTCAATTCCCAGCAACCAAATGGCAGCTCACAACTGTGTGTAACACCCTCACACAGACATATATGCAGGCAAAACACCAGTGCACATAAAATAAAAATAAGTCATTAAAAATTGATAAATTCTGAGGAAGAAGAAGAAGAAGGCAGCGGCGGCGGCGGAGAAGGAGGAGGAGGAGGAGGAGGAGGAGGAGGAGGAGGAGGAGGAGGAGGAGGAGGAAGGAAGGAAGGAAGGAAGGAAGGAAAGAAGGCCAGGCAGTGGTGGTACACACCTTTAATCCCAGTACTTAGGAGGCAGAGAAAAGCAGATCTCTGAGTTTGAGGAAAGACTGGTCTTCAGAGTGAGTTCCAGGACAGCCAGAGCTGTTACACAGAGCTTGAAAAAAAGAAAAAAGAAGAAAAGAAAGTCTGGGGTAGAAGAAATGGGTCAGTAGGTAGAGTGAGGGCTGATTTTGGATCCTCAGAACCCTCACTCACTAAAGAGAGGGTCATGGCAGCATACGCGTGTGATCCCAGCACTGACAGACTGGAGGATCTCTGGAGGGCACTGGTCAGCTAGTGCGATCAGTCAGCAAGAACACCAGGTTTAATGAGAAACTTTACTCAAAAAAAAAAAAAAACAGTAGAGAAGCAATTGAGGAAGACACCTAACATTGACCTGACCTATGGTCTCACATGCAAAGACGTGTGTGCCCCACACACATGCATACACATGAACAAGTACACACACATACACTCATACACACACACACACACAAAGACAAGAAATATCTTGATCCCCTGGTACTGAATTTTATCTCCAATGTTTAGTTTTATTTATTTGTGTGGTGTGGGGGAGGGGCTGGTTCCCCCAAATCTTGGGGATCAAATCAAATGTCAGACTTTCAGCAAACCCCTTTACCCATCAAGCAATCTCATGATATCCTTAGAGTCTTTAAACAGCAGGTTTGGTTGGTTAGTTGGTTGGTTGTTTTTAGAGTGCTGATAATTGAACCCAAGGCCTTGCCTGTATCAGGCAGATGTTCTGCCATTGTGCTACTTCCAAACTCTTAAATTTTATTTTACTGTTTTGTGTGTGTGTGTGTGTGTGTGTGTGTGTGTGTGTGTGTGTGTACACGCGCACGCACGTGTGTGTAAGTGCAGGTACATGTGTGCCACAGAGGACATGTGAAGGTCAGAGAACAACTTTGGGGAGTCAGTCCTCCCCTCCCACTCTGAGTTCTGAGTGTCGAACTCAGGTTATAAGGTTTGCACAGCAAGCACCTTTACCTGCTGAGTGATTTCACAGGCTCCGATTCTGAGGAGTTTAAGCCATGGGCTTTCATAAACCTATTTGTAATAAATATTTTGTTGCTCCTTATTTTTCCTTCCCCTTCTTTTTTCTTTTTTAACATTAAAAATATTTTTGGAAAGAGGTATTAGAGTATGTACTCAAAGGCTTATGCAGAACTAGATCTTCTCAAGGAAAAGACTGCCGTTTGATACATTAGGACTACACTGTATGTGTGGGGGTGTTGGGAGCGCGCATGTGTCATGGCATGCATGTGGCAGTCAGAGATGCCAGTCCCCACTTTTCAATTACACCTTACTTGAGACAGGGTGTGTTTGTTGTTCCCATATGTACACACAGCTTGTAGCATTCTCCTGCCTCCTGCACCACCTCACTGTCCAAGCCTCGGATTCCAAATGCCTGTGCTTAGACTTACACCTGTCCTGGAGATTTGACTCAGGCCCTCACATTTGATCAACAAGAACTTTACCCACTGAGCTGTTTTCCCAGCTTGGTGCTACCACTTTTTATGATAAAAAAAAAAATGTAGAAGTATGGTTCCTTCCAGAATTTTTGTAAAGTATAGCGGCGTGTGATAATAGAAAAGGATTGGCTCTACACACTGAAATTCAAGAGAGCATGACTAACATTTTTTCCTGAAACCAGTTTTATGTCTATGATAATGCACTCATCATATGCTAATTATATATGATGTAGAGATTTCTCCACACGGCATTAAGAACTGACAGATTTTTGGGCTAGTGTGAAAGTACATACCTATAACCCCTGTGCTCTGAAGGCTGAGAGAGAGGATAGAATCCCAGACCGGCCTGTGCTGTGTCCTGTGTGTGTCGGTTATCCATGGGAGCCAGAAGAGGGAGGATCCTGTGAGACTGGAGTTACAGACAGTTGTGAGTCACCGTGTGGGTAAGTGCAAATCAAACCTTGGTCATCTGGAAGAGTAGCAAAGGCTCTTAACCATATCTCCAGCCTCCAATAGATCTCTAGAGTATTTTTTAAAGAGAAACTATTATATTAGGTTAACATCTCAAATTCAGTAATAATTCAGCATTATTCATTCTCATTAAATGGTAGATCTGGAGAATTTAAAAGGTCATCTTATCTAGATTGCCCTTTCAAGTTGAAATGTTCTGTATCAGGCTGGGGAAAGGCCTCAACAACAGAGGGCCTGGCTTTAGTTCCTAGAACCCATGCTGGGTGACTGAAAACTGCTTGTGATACCAGTTCCAAGGGATCTGATGCCCTCATCTGACTGGCCTCCTTGGACCTCCTGCACAGGCATGGTGCACAGGCACACGTATACATAAATAAAGCAATCTTTTCAAAAGTCGTTGTATTATCCTTTCTATATATGAGCTTTGAACATGCTGAAGACATACTATACCACCAAACTACTTCTTCTTTGCATTCATTTGCTACGAATAGGTATCTTAAAACCCTTGTGAGTTCTGCTATTCGTTCTGTTCTACATGACTGCCTTCATGAGTAAGAACATGTGTTTGTCACTAGAGCCAGTGGTGGGTAGAGAGGAAGGAAGAGATTGTTTGAGTAAAGGAGTGACATCAGGCTCACCCTTAGCACATTTACACTTGAAACAACTGAAGTAACATATGCTGTACTTCAGAGTGGTCAGTAGAGTGTGAAAATGTTTACTATTTTCAGGTTGTTATTGTTGTTGGTTTTTGGTAATGTGTGTGGTTGTTCTGCATGATTTATTATTTCTGTGTTCATGTGCATGTTTGGTGCCTGCAGAGGCCAGCACAGGGCATCTGATTGAATCCCCAAGAACTGGAGTTATAGATGGTTGTGCACCACAGCCATGTTGAGTCCTGGCAATAGAACCCAGGTCCTCTGCAAGAGCAGCCAGTGCTCTTAACCTCTGAGCCATCTGTCCAGGCTCAATGCATACTATTCTGTGGGAGATGGGTCTTATCTCCTTTCTTAGGCCATTGCATACCCTCTGCCTGTACTGAACTGTCACACAATACACAGTCCACTCCATAAGAATACAGAAGTGTGGTATCTCAGTAAAACACATCTCTTCTGATTTAAGGTTAATGCTATAAATGCCAAGGGAAGATACAGCCTACAGCATCTGAAGCCGTTTACAGAATATCAATTTCAGATTTCGTCTAAGCTGTATCTTTCTAAAGGAAGCTGGAGCAATTGGAGTAAGATACTGACAACACGAACACCAGAGGAAGGTAGGCATCCAGCCAAAACGGGGGGGAGGGGTCAGGAAGAGGAGAACAGGAAAAGGCAAAGCCTTCCCTGGAGTAGACTCTTTCAGTGCATGGTGTACAGAAACCACCCGAGAAGGCAAGTTTATGATGCTAAGAAGCTTAACAGGAGACCAACCTGCCCCTGTCTGCCATCAGTCAAGCCACTGTCTTATTGCCATCTAGTGAAATGTGTGCTTTTTTTCTCTTACTTTTTCAGTACCTCTTATTCCCCAAAGCTGTAGCCAGTAATTAACCTCATTTCTTTGATATATTTTATCGCTTTAGTTCTTTGAAAATTAGAAATGATAATTTAGAAATTATAAACCATACTAAAAGTTTGAAAGAATTTCTGAAAAGAGTATCCTAAAATAAAAGGAATGTCTAACAATCCTCCTTCCTCTACTGTTGCATGGCACTTCGGCACTATCCTGCTCAAGGGAGCCCCGTTGGACCAGGACCAAGAGCAGCATAACAAGTTCAACTTTTTAATCTAATAAATGGGCTTTTCCTTTTGATAATTATTAAGAAATTAATTTCACAGAAATATAAGCCAACATTTTATTCAAACACAAGTCCTTATATAATCTTTTTGTCGTATTAACAAACTGTTTCTTCATTTTATAAGTTCTCAAAGAGTTTTGTGTAATATGTTTTGATCGTATCCATTCTGTCCCCAGCTGCTACCACATTCATAACTAATCCACACAATTATGTCTTCTTTTTTCCTGTTGTTTGTTTTAAAAACCCATAAAGTTCAATTTGTGCTGCCCATATACTCTAGGGTGTGTGGTCTTCACTGGAGGGTGGCCAACCTACTACGAGCTACACACCTTTAAAGAAAACTCTCTCTCTCCCAGCAGTTACCACTTACCAACAGCTTCTCAGCAGGAGGTGGGGCTTCATGCTCCCTCCCCTCTCCATGCAGGGGGCATGGACAAACACTTTGTCCTTTGTCCTTGTGAGCTTGTGGAGTTCTTGTGTGTGCTGTCTCAACTCCTATGAATTCTGAAGTGCAGCTGCCCTGCTGGTTCTAGAAAACCCTTCCCAATAGTAACAACCCTTTGAATTCACAAGAAACCTGTTTCGTATTGTTTCCATTTTGAGCAGTGACATAGTATAGAACGTTTCATATTGTGGGGTATTCACTAGAGAAGACTGCTAGAACATGGGTTTAAGCAGAGGGAAAATCTTTATTAACTGCCCAGCAACTACACTGCATGTTCGGGATCCCAATGTAGTTCTGAGACTTTCACGCGCACACACAAGCACACACACACACACACACACACACACATACACATACATACACACACACACGTACTTCAGTTAACAAGAACAGTTAGACAGGAGAAGAACTACAGAATCTAAAAAGCAAGGTTAGTACATTTTGAGACTTTCTCAGAACTAGATGGATTTGATTTAGTTTTAGCAGGTGGTACTGTCTACTTGCTGAATTTTAAAACCTGAATGGTATTTTCATCATAGAGTCAGTTATGCTAAGGTCTGGGCTGGGGTCCTGTTCCGATACTTTATGTAAATTTAAATAAAAAAATTACAGGAATATAATCAATTGTTTATTACTACCTAGATTTTTGTGAGACAATTTTTTTTTAATTTCATTTTACATTCCAACCACAGTTCTCCCTTCCACCCCTCCTCCCACCCCTACCTCTCACCCCTACTTCCCCCACATCCCATCCCCCTCCACTCCTTCCAAAGGATAAGGTTTCCCATGGGTCAACAAAGCCTGGCATATTAAATTGAGGCAGGTCCAAGCCTGTTGTAATAGGAGCCGCGGGGCTGCGTCCCCAGCACCCCGGCTGCCTGCTAGCTTATGCCAGAAAATAATTACACGGACACTGTATTCTTTTAAACACTGTTTGGCCCATTATATCTAGCCTCTTCTCGGCTAACTCTCACACCTGGACTAGCCCATTTCTAATAATGTGTGTAGCACCCCAAGGTGCGCATACCGGGAAGATTCTAGCTTACATCCATCCTGGGTCGGAGTTCATTGCGTCTGCCCGGGAGAGGGGAGCATGGTCTCTGAGCTCACTTCCTCTTCCTCCCAGCATTCTGTTCTGTTTACTCCACCCACCTATGTTCTAAGCTATGAGGCCAAGCAGTTTCTTTATTACTTAACCAATGAAATCAACAGATTGATATATGACACTCCCACACCACAAGCCTGTCCCCACTGCATCAAATCTGAGCATGGCATCCACCATAGGGAATGGGCTCCAAAAAGCTAGCTCATGCACCAGGAATAGATCCTAGTTCCACTGCCAGGAGCGCCTCAGATAGGCCAAGCAACACAACTGGTAAGACAAATTGACTGGCTGACTTGGAACTCACTATGTATACCTGAATGGGTTTGAGCTCACAGAGCTCTGCCTGCTTCTGCTTCCCAAGTACTGGGATTAAAAATCTGCACTTTCACGCCCAGCTGGAGTTTTTGTAATGCTCATATGAACATCTAAATGGTTATTTGCAAAGGTGGGAATCTGCATATGAGAAGCAGCCTTGTATGATTGGGCTGCTGTCTTTGAGCTTTTAATAGTTGGGGGTTTTGTTGGTTTTGTTTGTTTGTTTTGAGACAGGGTCACCTATATAGTTCTCTTTAGTCTGGAACTCAATATGTAGACCAGGCTGACCCTGAACTCAAAGACCACACCCCTGCCTCTGCCTCCTGAGCACTGGTATTAAAGGCATGCACCACCACCCCCAGTGTGAAGTAATATTTTTTAAATACCTCGTGGATTATATATTTGTTTGCACAATGCAGATAAGATTTTTTAAATGGGTCAAATTTAATATTCAAATCCAAAATAGTATATGGGTCTAGACATCTGTAAACTACATTATTACATCACGTGGGTCCGAGCTATAAACTACAGAAACATGAAGCTTATGAATCCTTGTCATTTATACACAGATTAATGACTTACTGAGAAAAGTAAGTTATTATTAGTTATCAAAAAGAATTTTCTTTTATTTTTTTAGTACTTACCTGATAAACTCAAACTTCTCTAAGGCAAGCTATAAACTCTAACATGCGGTGAATAAGTTGCCAGTCACCATGAGGCTGCTGTGTTCAGAGCAGAGCAGGCACCCAGAGATCTGAGGCATGGCTTACCTCAGCCTGTAGGCTTCCTTTCAATGTTTGCACCTTGCTTCTCCGGTTTGATCTTTTTGTGGGTTGTCCTGTGCTCCTGCTCTTACTTTAAGCTCTGTGGTTTACACCCCTTACCACACTCTCTGTCATCAGTTTCTTTTTGAAACACCAACTGATGTAAACCTAAACGTGTGAAAACTTTTTTAACACTTCTTCCTTTTAACCCTTTGAAGTGTCTAGTCGTACGTAACTGGCTTCACTCTCTGAAACTGTGAATGGGGCTCTTTTTCTGTAGCCTCAGCTTCTAAAACCAGAGAGGAGCATGGTGTCCCCTGGTGGTCCAGGTGTGGCTGGCTGCGTCATTCCAGCTGAGTGAAGGCTCTCTCTACTGCACATAGGCCCCTTCCTTTGGTGTTAAATTTAACTTCTGTCATGGTCTTCAGAGAAATGACCACTAAGGAAAGGGAGGAGGAAGGAAGCCTATGCCACCTTCTGAAAAACAGACTCTAATTCAGCATCGATCAAAAGCTGTCTCGATTCTGGGGACTTTAAGCCATGTTTTCTTTCTAGTGAGAAAACACTCATGAATTTGAGCTCAAAAGTATCCAGACCTGTGCACACTTAACACTCATGACACCTAGCAGAAGGCTCCCCTATAAGGAATAGGCCTTCTTTTATGTATGTGACTCTGTTTATAGGTTTGAGTGCTACTCACCTCAATTAATTTGTCAAATTAATTAAGGAGGCATGGCATGCTTATCTTCAGGACAAAAAGTGCTTCATGCCATGGTGACAACAGAGAGAAGTGAAAGACGCCCGAGAAAGAGAGAGAGAAAGAGAGAGAGGGGGGTTCATTGGCCCCTCAAATCTACTCTTCCTCACATAAAGAAGGCATTCTGAGTCCAGCACAGGAGAGGACCACTAACATTTCACTTGTATTTGTTCTGGAGTTTGTATAGAGAGCACAGCTGCAGAATGTGATTCCCAGTCTGTAATAATCTGTTAGGTGGTGGATCGTTAACAAGCAATCTAGTGAGCAATGCCTTTAAATTTGTTGCAAATATGTAATTAGCTGAAGGCACTATTGCTGTGAACAAGTTAACTGATTTTGATACTGTACACACCCAATCCTAACTACATGGTCAATGCCTGAACTATGTAATTTGTGGAATATTCATTATAGATCTTTGTTCAATATAGACACTGCATTGGGAAAAGCAGGATCTTTGGAGATAGCAAGAGCTGGCCTCAGCTCTCAGCTTAGCCAGTTTTCAGCTCTTTCTGGTCTTTGCCAACCTCCTTGTCTACAACTGTGCAGCAGATACCATTATGGGAACCTTCTATATCAGAAGAGGGCTACTGAGACCATGAACTTGGCAGTGTTACTTCGTACTTCAGAGTGGCTGGTGTCAGTTGCCTGTACTTTTTAATTCATTGTACATGGTCTATCAGATACAAGCCCCACGCTCGGTGTCTGTGTCACTCTCTCGTGTCCTGAAGAAATGAAAGCATTTCAGAATGCTTTATGGAAACTTTTGTCATCTTGTCCTTGCTGAAAGGGCAATGTTAGCCCTAGTGGGAGGAGAGAGGGAAGAAAAAGGCTTTAGGTTCAAACACACACACACACACACACACACACTCACACACACATAGAAGATGGGGTGAGGGTGAGGGGGATTAGAGAAGAGCCACAGAAAAGGTCCACTTGATGAAGAATTCAAGTTTTTCAAGTTTAATAGAGGTCATAAGCTTTTTTAAAGCCAAATCACTGCATGGTGTGAAGTTCATACAAAGATATAGGATCAAACAGACCCATGCTCAGAGCCTGACTTCCATAACTATTAATTCTAAGTTTCTTAACCATTTAGCAACTCAGTTTTCTTTCTTCTTTTAATTGATATTATTGAGCTCTACATTTTTCTCTGCTCCCCTCCCATCCTTTCCCCTCCCCTTCAACCCTCTCCCATGGTTCCCCATGCTCCCAATTTACTCAGGAGATCTTATCTTTTTCTACTTCCCATGTAGATTGGATCCATGTATGTCTCGCTTAGGGTCCTCATTGTTGCCTAGGTTCTCTGGGATTGTGATTTGTAGGCTGGTTTTCTTTGTTTTATGTCTAAAAGCCACTTAAGAGTGAGTCTATATGATATTTGTCTTTCTGGCTGGGTTACCTCACTCATTATGATGTTTTCTAGCTCCATCCATTTGCCTGCAAATTTCAAGATCTCATTTTTTTTTGTTGTGTAGTACTCCATTGTGTAAATGTACCACATTTTCTTTATCCATTCTTCAGTTGAGGGAAAGTTAAGTTGTATCCAGGTTCTGGATATGACAAACAATGATGCTATGAACATAGTTGAGCACATATCCTTGTGGCACAATTGAGCATCCTTTGGATATATACCCAAAAATGGTATTACTGGGTCTTGAGGAAGGTTGTTTCCTAATATTCTGAGAAATGATCATACTGATATCCGAAGAGACTGTACCAGCTTGCACTCCCAGCAGGAGTGTTTCCCTCACCCCACAACCTCTCCAGCATAAGTTGTCATCAGTGTTTTTGGTCTTTGCCATTCTTACAGGAGTAAAACATAGAATCAAAGAGTTGTTTCTCTGATGACTAAGGATGTTGAGCATTTTCTTAAGTGTCTTTCAGCCATTTTAATTCCTCTATTGAGAGTTTTCTGTTTATGTCTGTACTCTATTTTTCTATTGGGTTATTTGTTCTTTTGATGACCAATTTCTTGAGTTATTTGTATATTTTGGAGATCAGTCCTCTGTCTGATGTGGGGTTGGTGAAAATCATTCCCATTCTGTAGGCTGTCGTTTTGTGTTGTTGACCATGTCCTTTGCTTTTCAGAAGCTTTTCAGTTTCAAGAGGTCCCATTTATTAATTGTTTCCCTCAGTGTCTGTGCTGCTGGGGTTATATTTAGGAAGTGGTCTCCTGTCCCAGTGTATTCAAGTATACTTTCCACTTTCTCTTTTATGAGGTTCACTGTGGTTGGCTTTATGTTGAGGTCTTTGATTCATTTAGACTTGAGTTTTGTGCATGGTGATAAATATGGGTCTATTCATTCTTCTACATGTTAATATCTAGTTATGCCCTTCTTTGGAATTTGCTGCTGTGAGATTATCTATTGTCTGTGTTTTTGTGGATGTAGCCAACTTCCTTAGGTTGGTACTAGTTTTCCTTCTAGTACTTTGTGTAGGGCTGGGTTTATGGATAGGTATTGATTGATTAAATCTGGTTCTGTCATGGAATATCTTGTTTTGTTCTTTTATGGTAATTGAACATTTTTCTGGGTATGGTAGTCTGGGCTGGCATCTGTGGTCTCTTAATGTCTGCATAACACTTGACCAGGATTTTCTGGCTTTCATTGTTTCCATTGAGAAGTCAGGTGTAATTCTGATAAGTCTACCTTTATATGTTACTCGGCCTTTTTCCTTGCAGCTCTTAATATTCTTTCTTTATACTGTATGTTTAGTGTTTTAATTATTATGTGGCAAGGAGACTTTTTTTGATCCAGTCTATTTGATTTTCTGTAAGCTTCTTGTATCTTTTATAGGCATATCTTTGTTTAGGTTGGGAAAGTTTTCTTCTACAAGTTTGTTAAATATATTTTCTATGCTTTTGAATTGAACTCCTTCTCCTTCTTTTATCCCTATTATTTTTAGGTTTGATCTTTTCAGGGTGTCCCATATTTCCTGGATATTTTGTGTTAAGCTTTTGTTAGATTTAATGTTTGACAGGTGAGTCGATTTCCTCTATTGTATCTTCAGTGCTTGAGATTCTCTCTTCCATCTCTTGTATTCTGCTGTTTATGCTTGCATTTGTGGTTCCTGATCATTCCCTCATGATTTCTGTTTTTATACCCTCATGTTTTCTTTATTGTCTCTATTTCAGTTTTCAAGTCTTAAATAGTTTCTTTCATATGTTTGATTGCTTTTTTTGGTTTACTTTAAGGGATTTGTTGATGTCCTCCAATTTTTTGTTTGTCTTTTCCCCCATTTCTTTGAGGAAATTTTTCATTTCCTCTTTAAGGGCCTCAAACATTCTCCTAAAGTTATTTTTTTAGGTCATTTTCTTCTGCTTCATCTATATTTGGTTGTTCAAGTCTTGCTGTTATAGGGTCACTAGTTTTTACTGGTGTCATGTTGCTCTTTGTGGTGTTGCATGTGTTCTTACCTTGTCTACCCATCTTTTTCTCTAAATGGTGTAGTTGGGGCTGTCTGTGACTCTGGTGATCAATCTTCCAGGTGCCAGTGGATCCATGGCTCAGATAGTTGCTCCTCTTGGTGCAGTCAGGGCCAGAGTTCCAATCACCCTGTTGGTCATTCTATGTTCCTGGAGGTCACTCAGTGCTCCCAGGGTTCACTCTATAATTCCATGGGTTATTCGGGCCTGCTCCCACAAAGATTGATAGCTTGGTGCACTTTCTGCTGAAGTTGCTGCCTTGGGCCTGCTCTGGCAGAGGTCCTGGCTCAGGTCTACTCCCTCAAAGGGCCCAGACTTTCACCCAGACCTGCAGAGGTATCTTGTTCTGGCCTACACCCTCAGTGGTTGCTCCTTTGTACTTGCTCCTGTGGAGTTCACTATCTCAGGCCTACTCGGGCCTAGGTCACTGGCTCTGACCTGTTTCTGTAGATGTCCCTGGTCTGAGCTCACTCCTGTGGAGGTCCCTGGCTTGGGCCTGGTTCCACAAAGGTCTCTGGCTCTAGTCTACTCCCTCAGAGGTCCTAGGCTCATGCCGTGACTTAGTTTTCAAATGAGAAAACAGCTAAATTTGCTGACAGTTTACCCTGTGGCAACACTCTTCATCTAAATTCTCAAGACAGCCCCCATGATAAAGAGCTACCAACTTCATTTGACAGATGATGAAGCCTGCTAATGGGCCTGTTTGTTAGAGATCACACAGCAGGATTCTGTGGTAGATAGCCTAGTGCCTTGGTAATCCTTTCACAACATCTCCTGTCCCAGCAAGACATGAGGAGGAAAGGTGGTACCGAGAAGGGCCCTTGAGACAGTACTATCATGGGACTGTCCTGGTTCCTCCTTTTCCCCATTGCTAGTCTCTCCCTGGCTGTTTAGCTTTTTTTTATCCAGGTGGAAGGTGTTACTATTCTAGAAATTTTGCTCTGGTTTTTTTTTTTTTTTTATTGGATTTTCGAGACAGGGTTTCTCTGTAGCTTTTGGTTCCTGTCCTGGAACTAGCCCTTGTAGTCCAGGCTGGCCTCGAACTCACAAAGATCCACCTGCCTCTGCCTCCCGAGTGCTGGGATTAAAGGCGTGCGCCACCACCGCCCGGCTTTGTTCTGGTTAAAAGGAACTTTATTCCAGAAGGAACCCCAGTTCAGTCTCACCTCAAACACACTGTAAGTTTTCCTGTGGGGGAACCTGGGTTGGAGCGACAGCAGCTGACTTCTGTGGTTGTACTGACTGATTGTACTCCAGGCTAAAGGCAAATTTATCAAGTAGGAGAGAAAACACACACACACACACACACACACACGGCACGGGGTTGATTATTCTCTTTTTCAAGTGTGTTTGCCTTTCTCAAGTGCAGTTGTACTATATTCAACCATTGTCTTATTTATAGTTGCTGCTTATTTATTCTATTTGTTCAGCTTGTGTTTTGACATCAAATGAATAGCATTGCCTGGTCTGGTTTGTTGCTCATCCATCACAGAACAACGCTTACCACATTCCAGATACTGTATTTGCATTGTGACTCTTAGGTAAATGAGATGTGCCTTTGCTTCAAGCAGATCACACCAAATAATCACATGTCAATCTAAGATCAGGACTGGGGTAAAGATAAGGCTTGCTATTTGTACTTGTGGTTTGTGTTCTTACAGGACCTTGATTTTCTTTGTGGCCTACTTTTCCACCTTCCAATAAAAAAAAGAGAAGTAATCACACATACCTTGAGTTTTTAACTTAAATACTATGTACAAATGAAACATGAGTTAATATATTTTAAAGTTAAGTTAGGAAATAAATTTTCTTAGTACTTTTTTACTTTTTCATTTCAAAGTATCCATCTTTTTTTACTCATGTGTCAAAGGGATATTTGTCTGCTTTTAAATAAAAGAAAACAGAAAATATTAGATTATAGTGAAAAATGAAATTAGCCTATAATTCTATTTTAAGAATTGTTTATTGACTTTTAAAGATTTTTCTACTGTATATACCTGTATTTATGTGAAAATGTGCTTTTCACCCCTCCCTCCATCAGTGCCTGTTGGGACATTAGACATCTGGTACATGAAACAGAACATCAGCTCTAACAGACAACAGATCTCTCTTTTCTGGAAGGTAAGTTTTCAATTTAAAACTCAAGGACAGTGTATACTTAACTGAGTATGGGAACATTGTGGCTTCCATATGGCCCTGGAGCTCAGACAATTCCATGATACCTGACGTAATGTCATCAGCACTCTGGCCGAGTTCCCTCCTCCGAAGTTCACATCCGTGCTTTGTCCCACTTCCACGCCAGGCATTTCTGCCTCTAAACTATACCCTCTCATTTTGCCACTGTGCTTCCAAAACTGCTCAGCAGAGACTTTCTATCTAACTGAGTCATCCGGGGAGGGGGAACACAAAAGATAAGAAAATTGTGCGTGTGGATGTTTAGGAATTGTCCTCCCCACAGTTGTTCAAAGAGCAAAGGTTTTAAGAAATCCAAAATAACCTAAATGATAATGGAAAGGAGCCCCACCTCCAGCAGGAACAACAGAACAGGAGAGCCTGCCTTTCTTATGAAGAACCAAAGCTGCTCCTGGGCTGAAAGTCACCGTGACTACCTCATTTAATTCTCACACCCCAGGAGATAGACTCTAGATTGGCCTACCAGATGGAAAACCAGAGAAAGACAGTGCATGCCTAGGGTCATCCAGCCACTAGGTGGAGATGGGGACTTAAGAGCCTCCCTGAACCTTTTTGTACTGCTTGATGAGCCATCTTTGTTGAGTCAAATTCCTGTTTGAGCTCAACTATCCACACACACTGTATATGCTGCATGCCCACAGGACACGTTTCCAAGTGAAGTGTACTATATTTTACTTCTCAAAGCTCCCCCCCAACTCCCACCACCACACACACAATGTCCAGTGCAAGAGAATCTATTAAAAATAACTTGTTGCATCATGACCAAGCCCTTGTCTTTGAAACTAACATTGCAGTTCATAATGAAGCTGCTTTCAAGGACAATGGTCAAAGTAGGATACACTGAGAGCTGTATTTGTAAATGAGACATCCAGCTTGGGTGTTTTATAATCAGGCCCAGCTGATGCTGCACTGGCGGGAGGGCTCGAGGGCAGGCATGTGAGTGTTTTTTAATAACACTAGAACAACCCAGAACTGCAAAAAGGGGCACCAAGGAAGTCCAAAGTAGAACTATTCCCCAACCTGTGAAGACAGTGGCAGAACAAAAGAAAATGTGAAATTTATCTTGCACTTTTGTAGGGTGTTTGCCTTAGAGGAACGAGTAGGTACTGAGTGGGTGGAACCCCTGTAGGGAGGGAGTGTGTGTGGGCGCTGGTGTAAGTGTGCTCACATACATATCCGTGAGATTGTCATGGATGTGTGAATGTGTTTGTATGTATGGAAGAGACGAGTATGAGTATGTATGGAGTAAGTATGTACATAGGAGTTCATGACTGTAAGGGAGTGATTGGGTGAGCATGTATGTAAAAATGTGTGCATGCAGGTGTGTGTTTATATGAGTGTGGGAGGTTGTGAATGGGTAGAGGGTGGTGTACAGTGTGTAGATATGTGCCTGTATGAACGGTGGTGTGCTAAGGTGAGGAAGACTTTGTATCGGAGTGCAATTTAAAGACACCAGAATGAGCTAAAGGGGAGCTAAAGATCTGAGGGGTAAGAAATCTACCCACAACGGGAATCATCTGACCATGTTTCTTCATTCTTCTCTCTCCAGTGCATCATTTCTCATTGTTTCCCCAAACTCGTTCTCCTTGTTCTACCTTGTTCTTAGTTCTACCCATTACTAATTCCCAGTCATATATATCCTTAAAACCAGCAATTCCCCAGCCCTATAGATTCCGAGCTGGAACTCTCTTGCCCCATAGAAAAATCAGATAAGGGTTTTCACACACACACACACACACACACACACACACACACACACACTCACACACCGAGAGAGAGAGAGAGAGAGAGAGAGAGAGAGAGAGAGAGAGAGAGAGATCCATGGGAGTGGCTAGTACACGTCTGGTGAACTCCTTAATTGAGAAAGTTATTTAAGAAACTTTAAATAATAATAAACTTTTATTAAGTCATCAGGGAATTCTAGAGGGGAAGGTTGGTTCCCTGTACTACATTTTTAGGTGTTAGAAAGGTTTAATTTCAGTAAACTTATGAATAAGGCAAGGATTGTTTAAATCAGAGCGCCACTTTTCTCAGGATGCATAGAAGATACCAGGTAACTAGGCAACCTATGTAAACAGTCAAGTAGAAGTCAGGGCTCTTGGTCAGATAGCGCATACACCAGACGCTGCAATTTCTATTGGCCTAGGTCTGGAATTAGACTTACTGCTCTAAGCAACGAAGAGATCCAGGCCTCTAAGTTATCAGTTCTGGGCTATTCTGTTATCAGCCGTTCTGATCGTGGGTGTTGTGGGTCTTTCTCTGGGCTGCAGTTAATTACCTCTTCTGCTCTCCTTGAGAACAAAACATAATTAAAATCATCAGTAAATGGAGGTGAAAGTGAGCGTAAGGAGTTAAGAATCTCTTAAGTGAGGTAAAACCAGAGCAGCAGTTTAAGCAGGTAATGCCTGGACCCTAAGCACTGACAAAATGCCTGCTGATAAAGATAATTGCAGGAAGGTAGATAGATCTGGGTGCTTACCTAGGAGAGAGGAACAAGGCCTGGCAGAAGGAAATTGTTCCTCTGTAGTACTGAGATTAAAAGCATGCACCACTACTGCCCGGTTTCTAGGGCAAACTAGTGTTGCTACTGGGATTAAAGGTGTGTGTCGCCGCTCCCTGGTCTGTAGGGCTAACCAGGGCAGATGTTTTATTCTCCGATCTTCAGGCCAGCTTTATTTATTAAAATATAAGTGAAATATCACTATATTTTAGTAGTTCTGATATCTTGTTAATCACAGCTGATTCTTCAGCCCCAGCTAACCAGAACCACAGGATCTTAATTCAAAAGCAACAAATGGCCCTGAAATAGTCTTTAAATTTCCCTCTGAAACTACACAAGACAGGCATCCATCTTGTACACTAGTCTTAACATTATCTTCCAAGCTCATAAAGAACATCCCAGAGAGTCCTTGACACTCAACAGTTCTTCTAACACAAAGTTCCAAAGTCCTTCCACAGTCCTCCCCCAGACATGGCTAGATAGGTCACGGCAATACCACACACCAAGGCACGAATTTGTCTTAGGGCCACTATTGCCAATACAAAACACCATGATCAAAAAGCAAGTCAGAGAGGAAAGGGTTTATTTGGCTCACACTTTCACAGTGTTGGTCATCACTGAAGGAATTCAGGACAGGAACTCAAAGAGGGAGGGATCCTGGAGGTAGCAGCTGATGCAGGTCATTGAGGGGTGCTGCTTCCTGGCTTGCTTCCCCTGGCTTGCTCACACAGCTTTCTTGTAGAACTCAGGACCACCATGAGCTGCCCAGCCCTCATTGATTGCTAAATGAGAAAATGTATTACAGCTGGATCTCATGGCGGCATTCCCTCAACGGAGGCTCCTTCCTCTCTGATGACTCTAGTTTGTGTCAGGTTGACACACAAAACCATCCAGTACAAAGAGCAACAGTAAAATGTTGATGGTTTGTTGTAGGATTCCATGCTCTCTTCTTTCGCTCCAGTTCTTGCCCTATCACAGATGGACACAGCATATCCAAAGATGGGTACTAATGGGAAGAAAGGTTGCTCTTCCCCAGTTGCTAATGATACATTTCAGCTGAAAGGCAGGGGGTTCTGGTTAGTGAGCAGAATGTGGCCAATGACAAAAATGAGACAATCAAGGGCAGAAAGTTACCAAATTAGAAAGCAGAAACAGAAGGGGAAATAGAGTTTTATTTTCATGAAAAGCTCCCTTATTTTATAGCATTTCTAGATGCAAATTAAGATAGAAATCATGATGTCTGGGCAACACCCATGAGATTTCATTCTTGATTCAGTCAGCTCAGAAGCAGAACATCCAGGGAACTGGTCATGTGAGTGCTACCTGGTCCAGCTAAGAGTCCATTCTCTAATCTAGATAGAGCTGTGTATCTGGTTCAAGTTCTGTTTCTCTGTCATGTGATCCATGTGTTTATGTGTGCCCATCCACATGTGTCTGTATGAACATGCATGTGTGTTTATGAGTCTGTGTGTGTGTATCTGTGGTGTTTCTATATATATGCATGTGTTATAATTTTTAATTTATTTTTGACAATTTCATACATATATATAATGTTGAGATTTTTAAGTCATAAAAAAACACAGTGTATTATGCTGAGATTCACACCCATGTCTGCTGCCCACCCACTCCTGCCCACTAAACTCCTTGTTTCTTTTTTATTAGCCCTGCTCCTACTTTCATGTCTTCTTTTCACAAGTATGTGACCCACTGGATTTAATTGAGGTTGCATGCATAAGCATGGATATAGTGTGATTTACTGAAGGTTGAGTAATTTACCAGTGGCTACACCACTGAAGAAAATGACTCTTCTGCCACAGCAACCCACTATCAATCAATTGCTCCTTAAGGAGGGGTAAGAACTCATGTGTCCCTCCCCTATCCTTGATAGAATGTTAATGAGCCTATTCTCACACGTATTTTCTTCGGGTGACCACAGCTACTGTTTCATGATTGCAACTGCCGTGTCCTTGTCTTTCCAGAAGACTGTTTTACAGATCTCTTCCACATCCCACATTCTTTCTGCTTCCTCTTCCCCATTTTCACTAAGCCTTGAAGGGAATGGTATATATGTTCCATTTAAGACTGATTTTATATATGTTTACTTTGTATCCTGCCACTTTGTTCATGGTTATCAGTTCCGGAAGGTTTTGTGGTAGAATATCTTATGTACTAAATCATAATATCTGCAAATAGGGAAACTTTAAGTTCTTCCTTTCCCGTTTATATTTACGTTTATTTCCTTCTCTTGTCTTATTACTCTAGCTATGACTTTATCTTGAATAAGGGTAGGAAAATGGATACCTTTGTCTTGTTCATGATCTTAATAAGTTTGCATATATAGCCTTTGTTATATTGAAAGATATTTTTCTCCACCCCAATAATCTCCTGGATTTTTGTTTGTTTGTTTGTTTGTTTGTTTGTTGTTTGT